GACCCTAACCTTAATAAACTATACTTACTGAATTCACTATTTGTTGAAATCAGCATCGGCATTAGGCAAATATACAACAGCAATTGCTCAAGAACGTTTGGAAAACCCTTCAGATCTAACTAATTCTGTCAATCTTCCACCTGTCCAACATCTTGACGAAAATGAATTATTAAATCGATTGAAAGATGAGACTAAAGAACGTCAACTTGTTGAAAATTATGAAATGGTTGGAACTGTAAGAGGTGGTGTAGCCGCAAATGTTAAATCGGCTGCCGACAAACTTGAAAATGCTTTGAAAACTCAACATAAATAAAGATTATTTAACAAATACTTTATGTTAGACCTGTTTATTTCACTTGTTGACGTTCCTCATTAATTTTGTGTATTTAGTTTTATGAAAGTCGATCAATAAATTATTGAGTTATGACAATAATTTTTTTTGCGTTATTTGCAGTACTGCTCACTGGTCTATAGTTTTAATAATAATAAAAAAATTGAATTTTATACTGGCACTTGCTTCTAATATTTTTTAGATGTTATTTATATTTATACAAACTTCTTTTGGAATAGTAAAGACTATGATAGTTAATACCATAAAAATTGATGGTAATGCAGTGCTGAACAGCGTAATCGGAATATTAGAAGACGTCCATTGGTCTCTCCCGGGTTTGGGCTCAACAAAGCCCGGCCCATGGCCATTTTGGTCCATAGGATAACTTTCGTATGATTGGCTGTTTAAATCAATTTTAATTTTACGTTATTTATACAGTTTAAAGTACAAATAAAACTACGAAGAATAAACAAAAAGAAGTATATAGAAAGTTCTATTGGGGTTGTAGGACTCCAGTATTAAAAATAATCAAAATCATTTCTGGTTTTAGAGAGTAAGCATAATAGCGACCTCTTAAAGATAGATAGTATTACCATGCTAACTTCTCTAAAACCAGAAATGATTTTGATTATTTTCAATACAACAACCCTAATAAAACTTTCTATATACTTCTTTTTTGTTTATTCTTCATAGTTTATTTTTTTTAAACAAGTACTTTAAACTGTATAAATACAGTAACGTAAAATTAAATTGATTTAAACAACCAATCATAGTCGACTTTATATGATCAGGATGGTCATAATATAATAAATTTTATGTTATAACAAGTCATAAGGCCATAATATATAATATAAACAGGTCATAGGCCAACACTAGTCCTGAATACATCTTGCAATATAAATAGTTAAATAGTTAACAACTATATGAATTTGTTGTCATAGAAGATTAGAAAAATGTTTAAGAAATTGTTGGTTAACTAGATTTATTTAGCCTTGAATATGTTTTTATTTTCTTTTAAAAAAAAATCAAATGTCATTTTCTTGTTAAAATTATGTTTTGTATAATTATCAAGAATTTTAAAAAGATGCGTACTTCTATTCATACAGCCTTGGAAACAATTCTATTAATACGCGACGACCAAAGATATTATTACGAAAGCTTTTATAATTTGATTATGATAAGTTACATTTCCCAATTTTGTTTTTAGACAAAACACTGTGCACATCGGTTTTCTGTGCCAGGTTTTGTCGATCATGTGACGCAGGCAAATCTTTTAAAGTTTATTAATGTTAGGGTT